ACTGCATAACAAACCCACAGAAGAGATTCCCTAGTATGGGAAGTCCCAAGAGGGTGATTGCTTCTGCTGGGGTGAGAAGCAACAGAGAACTGGGCAGAACATAAGGTTAGATAGTGTTTCTTGGTGGGAGGAGCTTTCCAGGGTGGTCTGGGATTGGAGTGATCTGAATCTCCCCCCCCCCATATGACAGGGCCTTGCCATTCTCTAGCCTCCTGGTAGGGCAATTAAGGAAATCTGGGGTCTTGGCTTAGCCTGTGGAGATGGGGTGAGGTTGACACTCAACCAATCTCAAGGGGTCAGGTTGGACTGGCAGAATAGTCTAGGAACCTGGTGCCCAGAGGTATCCAGGAGCAGGGCTGACACGGAGTCTGTGAGTATGGCAGGGAAAGCCCTCAATAGCCAGCGCTTAGAATATGTGGCGCTGAGGATATACTTCAAAAAGTAGATAGTGGCCTTGAATGAACAAATTGGAGAACCATTCTCCAGTACGTCATAAGGCAGGCATGGTGGTGCATGCCTGTTTTCCCAGGACTTTGAGGTAGAGCCAGGAGGTTCATAAATTCAATCATCCTTGGCTACATACCCAGTTTGAGACCATTCTGAAGTATGTGAGACATCGCAAACCATCAACAACAACAAAACCCAGAAGGGGCCTTTAGCAGTTCTGTATTCCAAATATTGTTTAGTTGTGCAATACATCTTGTAAAACTGAAGCTTTGCTTTAAAATGTGAAGTCGGCACATGGTGGCTCACACCTGTAATTTCAACTTTTGGAAGATGAGGCAGGAGGATTGACAAGAGTTTGAGGCCAGATTGAACTACATAGTGAGTTCCAAACCAACTTGAGCTACAGACTTTGCCTTAAAAAGACTAGGAAAGAAGGCGAGGGAGGGTTGAACGAGGAAGGAAGAAAGCATGGTGGGGGGTAACTTTCCTGGTGTCACATAGGTGAATTATAGAAAAGCGGGGTTCAGATGTGCTGTGTCCTGTTCTACAGCTTCTTTTCTACTCCTTGGCACAAGGGCATCTACTAATGAAGCATTTGCTATCTGAGGTACCAAGTATGTGGGACGACCTTCTATGTACGTGTTGATTTTATTGGTTAATAAATCTGTTTCAGCCAATGGCTTAGCAGAGTAAAGCCAGGCAGGGAATCCAAACAGAGATAGAGTAGGCAGAATTGATGAGACGCCATGTAGCATCTGAAGGAGAATGATGCCAGACCATTACCGGTAAGCCACAGCCTTGTGGCGATAACAAAGATTTATAGAAATGGGTTAATTTACAATATAAGAGCCAGCTAGGGATACGCCTAAGCCATTTGCTAAACAATGTTGTAATTAATGTTAATATAGTTTCTGTGTGATTATTTGGGTCTGGGCAGCTAAACGAAAGCACAGTCTCCATTTAAAACCAAGTTAGCGATTGTTTTGAGACTTGGTCTTCATATATAGCCTTGCTTGTCCTGGAACTCAAAAAGTTTTGCCTACCTCTGCCTCCCAAGTGCTTGGACTACGGATTAGAGAGCATCACCCTCCCTGCCCCAAGCACCCAATTTTTGAAAAAGATGAATGATTGGATACAAACCCAGGATTATTGTTCCTCTTGACCTTTGCTTTACTTTTGCTGTCTAGATCTACAGTCAGCATGTGGCTCTGTGCAGGATAGAGGGACTGCCTTACCCGACCATGTCAGAGACCATGGCTGTGTGTTCACGTCTGGGGTCTTGCCGCCTCCTCCTGGTGGAGTCCAGCAGGAATGACCTACTCCTGCGAGTGAGGCTCAACGTGAGCCAAGACGATGTGCTGTATGCTCTGAAAGATGTGTGAAGGACTTCAAGGACTTCTGCCGTTTCCCAAAGAGCCTTATTTATTTTTCTTCAGAACATGGAATTAAAGGAAAACAGAATGGAAATGGTTGTTGTAGATTTTGGCATTTTATGTTATTTAGTTTGCTTTATCCAGAGTGTTTGAGAAGTTTATGGTAACATACTATGTATATAAAGACATGTATATAGTATATTTTTTAATCTATGTAAAGTACTTCTGGGAGAATTTATATGAAATTGGCTATACTGATTGCCTCTGGGAAATACCTGGTGGTATGTCAGGGGTGATAGGAAGACTTCACTGTATGTCATGATGTATTTGATTGTGAATGATATAAAGTAAAATTGTTTTTAATATAAAAGAACTGATGGGGTTTTGTGTTCATCATAGTGACACAGTAGTAGTGACATAGTAGGCAGGAGGCACTGGGTTCATTTCCCGCTGCTAAATGCAAACCAGATACCTTTAGCCCTGGTGCCTTGTGCCCTGCATGGTGCTACATATCTGAAATCTCAGATTTTGGGAGGCTGAAGCAAGAGGATTACTGAAGGTTTGATGGTAGCCTGGGCCACATAGTAAATTCAAGACCAGCCTGAAAAAAACTAAGAACTGTTAGAAATAACATAGAAATAATAGGTATAAGGTTTTAAAAGGTATCATTCACAGAGCTAGAGAGATGCCTGAGAGGTTAAGGGGACTTACTCTTGCAGAGAATGTAGGTTTTGTTCCCAGCACCCAGGGACAGCTCAGCCATTTATTACTCCAGTTATAGGGTGTCTGAAATCTTCTTCTCTTCCAAGAACACCAAGCATGAACTTGGTGCATATGCATATATTCATGCAGGCAAACACTCAAATTTTTAAACAATCTTATCTGCATCAAAGTGTAATACCACCTGTGTGTAATCTGCTCAGCGGCCAGGAGAGGTTGTCCGATCCCCTGAAACTAGTTACAAATGGTTGTAAGTAGCCATATGGGTTCTGGGAACCAAATCTGTTCCCTGCTGACCTCTCTAGCTTCTGTATCAGAATGTTTTTTATAATTTCCATGATTAACTAAAAGGGAGAAGAGTAAAGATGTCATTTACAGACGAAAAATAGATGATTAACAAAATGAAGCAGTTGAAATGGATCAAAGAAAGATGAATCTAAAAGCTAAAATGGGGGCTCTTCCAGAGGATCTGAACTCAGAGGGCTTACCACTCCAGCTCCAGCAGATTTGACACTTTCCAGACCTGCATGCACACATACAAATGATAAATTTTACTTGCCAGAGGAAAAAAACTGAGATGACTCATTGATTGAGAATCTAAATTCTGGCAGCTCACAACTGCCTGTAATTCCAGCTCTAGGGTTTCTGGACTCTGAGCGCATGTGCATTTGTACGTAGATGGAAGTTTTCTGTCCCACTTGTTCCTGTAGCCATTCAGTCCCAAAGAACACAGAGGCTTTTATTAATTATAAACTGTTTGGCCTATTAACTCAGGCTTATTATTAAAGAGCTCTTACAATTTAAATTAACCCATAATTCTTATCTATGTTTAGCCACATGGTTTGGTACTTTTTTTGAGTAAGGCATTCTCATCTCCCTGTGTCTGGGTGGTGACTGCATCTGCCTTTCCTCTTCCCAGAATTCTCCTAGTCTAAGTTACCCTGCATAGACTTCCTGCCTGGCTACTGGTCAATCAGCATTTTATTAAACTAATATGAGTGACAAATCTTTATAGTGTACAAGAGCATCATCACACAGCATTTCCCCTTTTTTCAAAACAAAACTCTGAATCTAATCTTTGTTTAGCTTTTTTTTTATCATTATACATAACAACTTGTAACCAACACTGTAAACAATGACAAAACTTCCATAATCCATTTTTGGAGAATATTGGCATAGTTTTCTAAACTACTTCGTGCTTATTGAGTGCACTGATAATCTTATGGGGATCCAAAGAAAATTTAGAATTATGGTCAAGTCCTGACTGGAGTATTCTGTGAGGCTGAATCAGCTCAACCAGTCACCTTGAAGCTGTTCTGGCTGTAGAACTCAGAGGAAACTGCAACAGAGGTGCTCTGAAAAGTTAGATCATCTGGGTTATCCATTCCCATTGGAGATTTTTAAGGGGGTCTTCCTCAATCAAACCTGATTTTTCTTAACTCAGAATGAGTGTGTCTTGGAAGCTTGGTCTACAAAGCGAGTTCCAGGACAGCCAGCAGCCGGGGCTGTTAGACAGAGAAACCCTGTCTGGTGGGGGGGGGGGGGAGACAAAAAAAAGTTTGCCTTTGTGTACGAAACTGAAAGGATTTTTTGTTTTTTTTTTTTTCATTTTGTTTTTCGAGACAGAGTTTCTCTGTACTACTGGCTATCTTGGAACTCGCTTTGTAGACCCGGGCTGGCCACAGGCCAGCAGTAACCTTGCAATGTGGTATGTCTTTGTATATATCGTAAGTATTTTTATTACAAAAATGTTAAAATAACTTTAAGAGGATTAACTGCACCATACGTGGGTCGGGTCGTGGAACTGTTCCTTCAATCAGAACTGAAGCCTGCAGTTTCTCCATGAAGTGACAATGCGCGTGTGGTGTAAGGATCTTGGGGTTTTACAGAGCGGGAAAAAAAGGGAACTCTGGAGATAGTCCGTCTGCAGGTCAGTTCCATCTAACCAGACACCTTAGGAGGCAGCGGCGGCTGTCAGCTTGCAGCGATCCTCCTGCCTCAGTTAACAGAGCGCTTGGGTTCCTCTAATCGGACTGCAAAGGGGTCCCATTTCCCGGAGA